TACTAAGGATGCTCCAATCACATTCTATGACTAGATCGGTAGACAATTAATGTAGCCAATCGCACGAACCAATCGCAATTTGAGGACGTTAAACTAACTTAATGCGCCACATTCTGCTTTGTAACTTCACGAAACATTAGTAAACCATAGTAAATTGCACATCATTTAGAGCAGGCTGTCTGCAAAAATCCTGACCTGTGCATCCCTAGATATTACAGATAAAAAGATTGAATATTTAGCATAAAATTATATTAAATATTCATTTTAAAAATGTATATAAAATAAAAAATGATTATGCAAAATATCTGTTTTTAATTTTAGAATGAAACATTACTCAGACATGCTTTTTTCAGATTCAACCCAGTAAAACTTAATATTAAAATGAACAACAGTATTACATACCGAATTGGAGCAGTACTGTTTCATGAGCTCATTTATGGCGATATCATTCTTGTGCAGCTTTGGGCCCGTGTGGTACCACCCAACTATTCGCTCCCGTGCTAGAATTGACAGAAACAACACCACGATTCAATTAGACCTGTGACATGAGGTCCAAAATATAACATTGGTTCTCGACATGTGCATACTTAAGCAAGGGATCTTACCATTGACTTTCTTGAACATGCCGTACATATTCTCCAGATAGTCGTGGTCGAGGAACCAAACTGAATCATCCTTGTCGTCCTCATCAAAAGGCACTGGCACACAATTACTAAACATTACTTACATTATATTTCAACAGGAAAGAAAAATGCTATTTACACCAAGAGATGCAAGCCTACCAGCGAAGCTGTTGGACACATCAAGCACTTTCTTATGCCATGAACCCAGCAGAACACCAACAACTCGCTTCTGACTGCCGACTTTACCAATCCTACAAAACAAAGACATTTACACACAATACAGAAATAAACCAATTGATAATTTATAATATATAAGCGGTTTAAGATCATAAATAACACTTTATTAACCTGTTTATTAACCTCTAGAATCTACACTAATATAGATAAATATGTGTCATACAGCAAGTCATGTATCACAATAAATGAAGTAAATACTACAACAACAAAAACCGAGAACTACTTTGGTTCAATATTGAAATTATAGCAGAATATTAAATAATATAACGTTAGTGTGTGTATTGATTGTTGGATAGCTTACAGCCCTTCTTGCAAATACAATTATTTGTAAGTTAGTAGACTCTACAAGACGACGTTTTAAGAAATTCTTATATTATTAAGTTGCAACACCATAAAATGAATAAACTCTTAAAATGTTGCTTCTTTTCATGTTTTTACATCCAGTTAGCCTTTAGCTTGTAGCGGCTACTTTCATTGACATAATGACAGTGAGTTAACAGTTTTACTACAGCAACACCACGACACTCAAATTTACCTGTTAAAATGGTCCACGACACTCAATAGCACCAGGGGATGAACGACGACCCTTTCTACCGCTAAGTCCGGCATTTTCTCTCAATAAATCCGAGTACTTATGGCAAAAAATATTGTTTTTCCGTTGCTCAGCACGCCAGTTTCATGGACGCTCGTCCGCTTGTTCCGCTTCTGCTTCGTGTGTGTTTCCCACAGTGGCGATTCAGCATCACGCACGCGAGCACCGTCTGGAGTGGAGGAGGAACTACACCCTTTCAAATTCAAGATGGACATTGCAATATAACAATATGTTAACTTCGATACAATTAATTTACAATCACTAATATATTCAGTATGTTTTTATCTTTCAGAAAAGGCATTGTGATGTGTTTTGTTTGTTTCATAGCGACCATTTAGACACCAGATGGCGCTGTTTATCCTGTTTAGTGTTAAAATGCATGGGTACGTTTTAATTTATTTATTTGCTTGTGATGAGAGTCATCAAGTTAACTAATTCTAGTCAATCGATATATGTACTGGTAAATTAATTGGAGTCTCTCTAAAGTCAAACAAAAAGTGTCAACAATTCCGACATAATCCGTATGTAAATAGAGGGCAAATTTATGCTGTTCTGACATCACCTTATGAATCATCATAGAATGACCTTAATGTTGGTCGATACGTCCATTGTAGAGTAATAAATCCCTGTGAGGTCTTAGAAGTTATACATATAGTACAAATAAAATCATACAGGGCTATAAAACTAGGTCAATGACCCTTCTGAACATTTTTATTTTTTGATTTCCTTATAGGCTAATTATAAGTTGACCCCACAAATTGTGTGGACTTTGTGAAGATAGGCCTATTAAAATGTCAAGGATGAGATTGTGAAGTAATATTGATATGAGGTTTGAATGTTAAATGGATTCTGTGACAGATCCATGAAAGAAAAATGGCACATAGTATAGAGTTATTATTAATGATTCGTCAATTATTAAACAATTGTAAATCTATCTAAGTTGATCAGCTAATTTTATCTGCTTTGCAGATTTATAGGCAATAAACACAATTTATAATGATACAATGCTCTATTTTAATTAATTTATTAAAGGGATAGTTCACTTTGAAATTATTTTTTGGTATGTTTTAGATTAACTCAAGGGCATCCAAGATGTAGGTGTCTTTGTTTCAGTAGTTTCAATTTTGATATTTTTAGGTCAAACCGTTCTTGTCTGTTAGTCATATAATTGAGGTCTATGGTCACCACCTCAAAGAGCATGCACAGAGAAGGCCAAATTAAACATGATTTAATGACTCGTAAATGTAAGTACACATTGATGGCCTAAGACACGAAACGAGCGGTTTGTGTGAGAAAACAAACAGTGTTTATATCGTTTTTAACGCAAACGTCTTGCACAGACCGAAGCGCCCGTGGCCTCGACGTGCCTGTGGTTACAAGAGGTTAAAATTATATAAATACTGTTCGTTTACTCACATAAACCGCTCGTTTCGTGTCTTAGGCCATCAATGTGTACTTACATTTACGAGTCATTAAATCATGTTTAATTTGGACTTCTCTGCGCATGCTCTTTGAGGTGGTGACCATAGACCTCCATTATATTTCTATGGCACGAACGGTTTGACCTAAAAATATCAAAATTGAAAATACTGTGGAAACAAAGACACCTACATCTTGGATGCCCTTGAGGTAAGCTAAAACACACTAAAAATTAATTTCAAAGTGAACTATCCCTTCAACATCTGTAAAAAGAGTTAATTTCAAGGTTTTTGAAACTTCGAAACTTGAAACTTTGAAACTTCGAAACTTTGAAACTTGTTTCGACAACCTTTTTTGTTAACAATTACTGCATTTCTACTTCCTTACATTCAAATTCAATCATGTAACTCAAATCAAATTCAGGAATTGAATTGGAATTTAAATGCATTCTCAATTTAATTCTGAGTGGTGCTCCGTAAAAATGAATAGATCACCTAAAAAGTAAATGATGGCAGAATTTAAATTTCTGGGTGAACTATCCCTTTAACATCCATTGTATGAGGACAATAGTGAATCTGCTGAACATGAATCATGTGTCAAGCTGCCAGACATTGTGTCAAACAGTCGTCACAGCCTGCGCTGTTCCTAGACAATAATGCTTTAATTTTTCCCCAGAACATCACTGGCAACAGCATGACCCTTCAGGGACACTGATTGGGCGCTTTTGTTAAACATGTTTGTTTTTCTAAGAAACACGTTCCACGAACATTTGATGAGCAATAATAATCTTTGTTTTAGCTTACCTCAAGGGCATCCAAGATGTAGGTGTCTTTGTTTCCACAGTAGTTTAAATTTTTTAGGTCAAACCGTTCTTGTCTATCAGTCATATAATGGAGGTCTATGGTCACCACCTGAAAGAGCATGCACAGAGAAGTCCAAATTAAACATGATTTAATGACTCGTAAATGTAAGTACACCTTGATGGCCTAAGACACGAAACGATCGGTTTGTGTGAGAAAACGAACAGTATTTATATCGTTTTACCTCATTACCACAGTCACAAAGCGCCCGCGCCCTCAGATCACTTGGACGTGGCTGTGGTTACAAGAGGTAAAACGATATAAATACTGCTTGTTTTCTCACACAAACCGCTCGTTTCGTGTCTTAGGCCATCAATGTGTACTTACATTTACGAGTCATTAAATCATGTTTAATTTGGACTTCTCTGTGCATGCTCTTTGAGGTGGTGACCATAGACCTCCATTATATGACTGACAGACACGAACGGTTTGACCTAAAAATATTTATAGAGTCACTGTCCCCTTTAGTTACACCTGTTCAAAACACAAATATCTAATCAGCCAATCACATGTCCGCAGCTCAATGCATTTAAGCACATAGACATGATCAAGATGATCATAGTAAATTATGGAGAAGAAATGCGATTTAAGTTACTTTGCTGGGTTGTTGGTGCCAGACGGGCTGGTCTGAGTATCACAGAAAATGTTTTTTTTAAAGCAGCCATCGTGTCAATATGGACCAGAATCTCGGAGGAATGCATATTAAATCTATATGCCACAAAGAATTAGGCAGTTCTGAAGGCAAAATGTGGTCCAACCTGGTACTAGCAAGGTGAACCTAAGATTAAGCCAGGATTAGGCCTTAGTTCAATTAGGACATAGCTTCTATAAACATGCATTAGAAAGAAAAAAAGATTACATGGTGTGCATCTTGATAAAAACAAAGGCAGTGACATAAGGCTATGTCAGTGCAAGTCACTTTCAGTTAAACTCAAACATGCATTTTGGGACTTTAGTCTAGTCAAAGCCTTGTCCGTGAAAAAATTAAGTTTATAGTTTAGGTATAGGCCTAACAATTATTAATAATTTAAATGAAACTTTAACAACTTTGTTGGGCAGAAGAATTTTGTCTAAAAAGCCATAATTCTTTCCATTCTATGTCACTGAATGTATTATTCCGACAACTTAAAATAATACAAATCTGAGTTCTATTTATTATTGATCTAGTTTGGAACGCGTTGCTCTTGAAGTGATGACGCGGGAAGTGGGCGGGGCCGCAGAGGAAACAGACAACTGTTTCAAGAGTCGTGCTGCTGGCTGTGTTTATACACACACACACACACACACACAAACACATATACAAACACACACTACGAAGAGCGCTGGCCGACATAAACACTTTTTAAATGATATTTAGAAGTGTCATTGGCTGCTTTTTCGACACCTGGCTTTTGTTCGTTTTCGTCTTTTCTTTCGTTCAAATTAACGATGGCAGTTTGTTAGAAGCTGCGGTTGAAGAGCAAGTCTGTCATTTTCTCGGCGGGTCGGAGGATCTGCGATGCCCTCTGATTTCACAACGCTCTTCAGCGCGGATATCGACCTCGATTCGCCAAAGTCCCTCTACTCCAAAGGTAACTCACTTTCTGCTTACTTTCAGCATACTGTACATTTACTGTGTGCACGCGCAGCCAGGCTGTGTTCCCAAACCTAGTGCGTTGCCTACCTAGACACCATCACGGGCGCGCTCAAGTTCACTATGATGCCAAAAAGTGCTGTCTATGTGGTAACACTTTATTTTACAGTCACAACATGTGCCTGTTTAGTAGCCTAATAACTATAAACTATGCATAATTACGTGCGACTGACCCCTATCTAACCCTATAGTAACTGTACATGTAGTTAATTGTTATTACACAGTACTTGAATGCATAATGACAGTGTAACATAGAAAGTGTAACAGTGCTCACTTGGATTTGTTGTGTGTTCGTCTGTGTAATGTCAAGCAGTTTGTTTGTTAGTTTACATAGTCCATGTGACAAGTGGTTTAAATGGTGACCAAATAAATGAGATGGTGTGAGATGATGCACACATTGCATGTGTGTGTTTGTGTGTTTGAGGGGGCGGGGTGTGCATTCTTTATTTAACTTACATCAGCATATTACTATTTATTTGGTTTATAAATATCTCTGATGGATTGAATGAATGAATGAGAAGACATTCATGGAGTTTGACATCTATTTAACACATTCTACATGAAACCATCTGGTGAAAAAATTGTGCAGAATATATAACCCTCCCAACTCCTCTGTTCTCTTAGAAAAATGAGAACGGCTTTAAATTTCAAGTTGTTCGTGCATGATGCCTCCACCTCCTTTGGTTATAGGAAAATGAACTCTCCTAATGAAAACCTCAGAGACTGCCTGTTGTTTTGACAGTGATTGAAAGCTGAATGAAGGTCTAAAAGAGTGAATATGACACATCTAAAGGTGTGTGTATGAGAGAAGTCAATGTCAATATGTGAACCTGTGTTATTTTAATATTATATACATATATATATATATATATATATAGAGATTAGGGCTGTGCAAAAATTAATTGCGATTAATCGCATCCAAAATAAAAGTCTGTGTTTACATAATATATTTGTGTGTGCTGTATATAATTATGTTGTATATATAAATACACACACATGCATGTATATATTTAAGAAAATGTGTTATTCATATATAAAATATTTATATTTATATAATATAGATTATGTATTTATATATACAGAATTTAAGCGCAAATAATTCTTAAATATATACATGCATGCATAGGTATTTATATACAAAATAATTATATACAACACACACAAATATATTATGTAAGCACAGACTTTTATTTTGGATGCGATTAATCACAATTAATTTTTGTACAGCCCTAATATATATATATATATATATATATATATATATATATATATATATATAGTTGTCATGATTTAAGTTTTAGTAATTTTGTTAGCCTATGTGCTTTTTTTTATTTTTTATTAGTTCTTTGTTAGCCTATTTCTGGTTTTATTCCAGAAGTATTTAATTTTTTTAGGCTACTTCAGTTAATCCAATGTTACATTGCTAATTTTCATTGAATTGTTTTCTGTTGATTTATTTTGATCTAATAACTATATTTTATTTGAGCTTTGTTTTAATTAGCAAAACTATTTGTAATAGTGCTGTCAAATGACACATGAATGTGACACACACACACACAATATACACTATAAAAATGAATATGCTTTTTCTAATCAAAAAAAAAATTGTGGCAACAGATTACAAGCAATATAATTATTTAAATTTAACAAATTAGAATTGAGTAATAATTAATCAAATTAATTCCTTAAGTTAACCATTTAAAATGCTAAAAAACTTACAACAACCAAAAAAAAAAAAAAAAAAAAAAACATAAATTGAAGTCACCATTATGGTGATCAGTGTTTGTTTTAGGTTTGTTTTAAAATTACAATTTTCTCCTTCCGTGATGCTTGTTAACATCAGGTGTCTTCAATGTTGGCAATATAAAATAATCTTTGTTAAAGGGTTAGTTCACCCAAAAATGAAAATTCTGTCAGTATTTACTCACCCTCATGTTGTTCCAACCCCGTAAGACCTTCGTTCATCTTCGGAACACAAATTAAGATATTTAAGATATTAAGATCGCTCCTGCACACTAGTCAATAGGCTTCTTGAGGGACTGGCTCTTGCTGTCCCCGAAAAGTCATTAAAGACATCGTTAAAATAGTCCAAGTGACTACAGTGGCTCAATCTTAACTTTATCAAACGACGAGAAAACTTTTGTGCGCAAAAAAACAAAAAAAAATAACGACTTTATTTTAACTATTCGTTTATTTTTTCCTACTGCGCGAGTCAGGTTACTAGTTTAATAGCGTAAGCTTCTGTTATTGTACGTCACACGCATCACACACACATGACCAGCGTCGGCCAATAGTGAGCCTACGTGTGACGTAGCTCTACGCAATCACACTACGTTAACTGACTTACAGGCTCATGGAGAAGGAAGTGAATAGTTGAAATAAAGTCGTTATTTTTGTTGTTTTTTTGCGCACAAAAGTTTTCTCGTCGTTTAATTAACCCTTTAATAATCTTAATTAATCTTTGACATCTGTCTGTTAGTGAGATATTTCTGTATTTTTTTTTTTGGTGTAAACTTTACTAATTTTAAATGGTTAACCTTTAAGGAATAATTTGATTAATTATTACTCAATTCTAATTTGTTACATTTATTTAATAATATTGCTTGTAATCTGTTGCCACAATTCTATTGATTAGATAAAGCATATTAATTTTTACAGTACATATAAAATATGTTAGATGCAATTAATCACGAGAAATTGATGCGGCTGCACTTTTGAATAGTTTTAGATGACAATAACAACAATATTTCAAGCAGCACTTCATAAAAACTGGGAGTAACTCAAACTGTGGTGGCCTCAAACATTGTTCTCATACTTGCAGAGTTATTATGGGCAGCGTTCTCATACACCGCTCTCGCTGAGGTCCTCTATTGGTGCATTTTTAATTTCCTGTGCATTAGATGTTCTTTATGTTGTTTGTATCGGCCTTAAACAGAGAGGCTGCAGTCTTAGATTTTAATTTGCCCAGTGATTTGATGTGGATTCAGGTGACGAGTGCTATTGCCAGGTGTGTATGTAGTATCCTGAATCAGGGCTTTAGTCACACATGTTACGTAAGACCCAGCCTAATCTCATTTGCAATTCTTTTTAATAGTCTGCTGGCCCGCCATGGCTGTTGTTATTGTTGTTGCTTCATATTCAAGACATCCAGACCAAATTTTTAGTCATTGTTTAGCTGTTTTTGTCCATTTCTTTTCAGATACACTTTGACATTGACTTCTGTTGTAATGAAGTGTTCCCTGTCCCTCTGAATTGTCTTGCAATAAATATAGAGTATAATAATATAGAGAAGGACATCATTCTGAACTTCAACAAAAGTTAAGAAGCTCAAGTTCCACTAAATGTTTCATTGCCAGTGAAATGTAGTAGGACAATGAAAATGTCACTCTTAAGAATAAAGGTAAATAATGTATTTTTCTCCAATGATGCCATAGAAGAACTATTTTGGGTTCCCAAGAACAGTTCCCAAAATAACCATTTGTATTAACCTTTTTTACACTTTATCTTTTGTGAAATTGAAAAGTGATATGGATTTTAAAGAGGTAATAATACATGTTTTAGCAATACATGTGTATGTTTTAGCTTACCTCAAGGGCATCCAAGATGTAGGTGTCTTTGTTTCCAATTTTGATATTTTTAGGTCAAACCGTTCTTGTCTGTCAGTCATATAATGGAGGTCTATGGTCACCACCACCTCAAAGAGCATGCACAGAGAAGTCCAAATTAAACATGATTTAATGACTCGTAAATGTAAGTACACATTGATGGCCTAAGACATGAAACGAGCGGTTTGTGTGAGAAAACGAACAGTATTTATATCGTTTTTATCTCTTGTAAGCACAGCCACATCCAAGTGATCTGAGGGCGCTGGCGCTTCGGTCTGCGCAAGCGCTGGAAAGCGCCGTAAGTGATCTCTCGCGTGGTTGCAAAAAATAAATAAATCAATGTTGTCTGTTGATATAGTGAAATGATCTTCCATTGCGATTTCCTGTTTATCTAAATATGTTTAGATCTTCACAGTGAAGGATAACACTTCCAAAATCTCTGTGTAAATAATTAGTGACGTACATGCACGAGAAATCTCTTCCGGCGCTTGCTCAGACCACTTACATTGTTATGTAGGTTTGTAACAGGAAGTGAGACTGGGATTGTTTAGAATCGATTCTTTCTTCAAGGAGACGATAACTTTTTGTTGAGCACTTTGACCTTTAAACCTTTGCTGACCTTTTACATTCACAAAAAGTTATATTACAAACTGCATGAAAGATAATATTGAATATATCTTCTATATATCCATCCATTAATACCTGACAATGGACATTAACCCTAATGTAGTGCATTGTATGCCTGTTTGATTCAATAATAATGATTGTCTTTACTTTGTAACCATCATAAGAATTACAGTATGTGAATACAACACTCCATTTATGTAACGCCTTCTTCAGGTTAAAGACCTTTTGGTGGTTCAGACCCCTGGCCTAGAGTAATAAATAAATGACCTCCATATCCACTTCCTCTGGCCAGGTATCTGAGGTGAACACAAGGTTACGCAGTGACGGGGGTTAAAAACCTCAACCTTATCAGGTTAACAAGATAAGACGAGTCGTGAGACATTTTACCTTTCGCTTTTAAATGAGATGTTGACTACGGAGAGTAATAGTCAGGTTTTGGAGGATGGCCTTTAGATGTTTTAGGGTAAAATTGGCATGTGAAAGATAATTATATATATATATATATATATATATATATATATATATATATATATATATATATATATGAAGAGTTCAGATGCAAAAGCCTCTAAGTGCCATTTGAAATTTTCTTCTAGAATGATCATTTTTATCAAGCTTGTATATTTAAGTTCAGTAATTTCAGTTAAATTGCAATGAGGATTACCTATTAATTGTCATTTAAGTGAAATTACTGATCTTGAATATA